ATTTGTATATGGCCATGAAAAAAAAATCTATCCAACAGCCAAGGAATCAAAGCTCTGCGAAAATAAAATCGCGTGAACTCAAAATTTGAAAAATTTCAAACATTCGAGAAATGTGTCCAGAAGTGTACCAATAACCAACCGTGCGAGTTTTGTAAGAATGTTGTAGCACTATAGTAGCAGTAAAGAAAAGCGAACAAATATACATATAAAATAAATATATCTCAATTCTCAACGCAAATTTCTCAGTTATGAACTCAGCATCATTTGATCAAGGTCAGAATGGCAAGAAATACGAATGACTTGAAATGGTTCGGAAGATATTCCGGCTAAAATTTTTGATAACCGAAAGAATTACAGTACGGGAATATGATCATAAAAATATTTCCACGAGAGGAAAACGGGTCTCGATGGGCCGAAAGTTTCTTTCCGCGCTGATTTGGTTGAAGAAAAAGGAATTATTTATCGTTGAAGACAAACTTTGCTGAAAAAATAATAATAACCTTGACATACTATAATGGCAACCTTGTTCATGCGCTGACCTCAGATAACCCACTTTTATCCTGCCTGAAATGGCAAAAATAAAAGAGCATTGATAACCCCAATGGACCTTGGAGACAATTTACTACAATTGCTCCAAAGCGATTTGGGGTGGTCCAAAATCAGCACTTTTGACTTTCTTCGTAGAACGTCGGTGCATTAAGCATCTTCTGTTGACCTTCATTACCGGACAATGCCAGCTGTACTTTGCAAGAAAGAACTATTCAGCCTGACTCTTTTTTTTTTAAGAAGTGTGATCCTTCCAGTTCTTTGTCTTGCAGCACACGGTTCCAATTCAAATCAACAAATTAAAACCCAATAATTTTTCCAATGGCTCAGTTTATTCAGAAAGCTCTCGCTTCAATTCTTTGACATCAAGGCTGATAATTTCAATGAATTGAACCTTAATGGCTCATTCAATCCATAACTAAATTATAGCTTTGAAGAAACCATATTTTTTAATGTAATTTTTGCCATAAATGACAACACAAAGAAAATCAATTTTCTAAATGCAAATTATTCTTTTGTGGGGAGAAACCAAGAATTTCTCCCTTCCAGTTCTTTGTCTTGCAGCACACGGTCCCAATTCAAATCAACAAATTAAAACCACAATAATTTTTCAAATGTCCAAGTTTATGCAAACAGCTCTCACTTCAATTCTTTGACATCAAGGCTGATAATTTCAATAAAATTGAACCTTAATGGCTCATTCAATCCATAGCTAAATTTTAGCTTTGAAGAAACCATATTTTTGAATGCAATTTTTGCCATAAATGACAACACAAAGAAAATCAATTTTCCAAATGCAAATTATTATTTTGTGGGGAGAAATCAAGAATTTGTCAGGAATAAGCAGAAAATTCAACCTTACATTGCAATGTACACAGGATTCATTTCTCCATTAAAATTCAGCATTAGCACAGCTGAGCAGAATATATTCGCCAGACAAATTCATCTTTCTCTTTGGGTTCCCACATTCAATAGTTGTTAATACGGAAGTCTCACAGAAAGCTTTTACAACAGTAAATGGCAGGAAATTTTTGACAGACATGTCATTCCATCAACTTGAATTCCTTAGGCTTTAAAGCTGGAGAAGTACTTTTCTGTCCATTACAATAATAATTCATGCAATTAATTTTGCACCATGCACAGCCATTTCTGCAAACCCTGACAAAATAAGAGCTGGCCCGCTTGTTGAACAAATATAATTAAAACACGGCAGGGGTAAATTCCCTCTACTTTCTAGGTACATCTCATCTGATTTACAGGGGCACTAAACGGCTGTGAATTGACATCTTATTAGAAAAACAACACTCCAGTGATAGTAAAAATCATGTTTAATCATCAACTTGCGAAAGAAACGAAAAATTGCATTATTGCATCTATCGAATGCACACTTTCGTCGACATCTTTGTCAGCACAGAGCCCAGCAACTGATTCCCCCCATAAAGCTTCAATTCGGCCTCGGTGACCTCATAAACCTTGGCAAGGCTGTCGACATCGACGAATGGATTCAGCCCCGTGAAGCTCGTCACTTCGACGTCACTTCCGAAACATTCCACTGCTCTAGTAAACCTCTCAGTCGCCTCTTCCCGCGTCCCGCCGCAAACCAGCACCACGAGTCTTTCTTGAGCTGCTTCCGGATCCGCGAAATTGATTCCGAAGCATTTCAAAGCTTCGCCGACACGCCGGAAACGCGACAACCGGTAAATGATTTCTGCGTGGAAGCTGTTGGCAGTGGTGGCGTTGCGCAGAGTCGCCAGTTGCGCCGCCGTCACGGCGGCGGATAATTGGGCGTCGGCGAGGACTAAACTAGCGGGAATAACGGCTGCGAGAGTCAACAGCGTCTTGACCTTGTGTGGTTCCAGAACCTGACTATTCTTGGGTGACACAAGGGCGTAGCAGGCGAAACACTTGTCATCAGTCAAATGGGAATCCAAAACGAGGAATTTTGGCACGGCTTCGTCGCTCATCTTCTGCCGCTTTGCTGGGTTTTCTTCGTCTTCGGACATTTATTCCTACGGATGAAGAAATTTACAAATTACACTCCATTCTACAGAAAAATTCAACTTCTTCCAATTTCAAAGAAAATTACGATGATGTTCGTTTGTCATGACAAATAAAATTTATACTTCATTGCATGCAATCAAAATCATTCCGTGACGTGGAAAGCTGCTCATTTCACTAAAGAACGTAATTACGGTACTCTTTCTTCTCAGCGAACAATAAATATTGGACTGACCGGTGAAAAAAAGTTTTAATTCAAACCAAAAAAAAAAAA